GTGTATTCAAGGCCCCCTAGTTTTCTGTCATTACATCTCACTTATGTTTTCTATATCCGATGTTCAGATACAAGTAGAAATTTCCCTTTTCATTTTTCAACTAGGCAAAGATATTATTGCAGGGGTTGATAATAACTCATTGAGCGATATTGCTGTTGCAAGGCTATGGGCCCTTCCTAAAACTTACTGTGTCCAGGTTTAATAAAATGGGAAAGGTGGGGTTGATTTCCACAATGGTGCATAATGGGAGAATTTTAACAGAAATAGCATGGAGAAGAGAGAAGTTTAACCAGCACCCCAAGTACAGATTTGTGTGGATGGGTGGTAGGGAGCAGAGTGTAGACAGGCCCAGATATCATTTTACCACCATTCAGGCACACTTTCCATTGGGCCTCAGTCCTTTGGATGTGGGAACTATCTTTTGGCATCATTCTGTTGCCTCTGGGCACCTGAGTTGGGAATCATATCATTAGCTTTCCGTCCTCATAGTATACCAGACAAGTGTGAAGAAGCCACAGCAATTATACACAAAATATAATCTTTTTGAATGTCTGTAATTAAATTAAATTGGACAATAAATTGTGTTCCCTTTCATATCTGTTCTCTTCATTTTAAACTATCCATCATTCTGGATTGTTTACTGTATTCCTGCTCAATGAAGACTTCAGAGACAGACCAACCCTCTGTTTTCTATACTGACACTGATACACTTTATGATTATGTGTGGGCCTGGCATTTTCAACTTGACTTGTATCTCACATTCACAGATACCCTAATTTTGTCTGTTTTCTACTAAAACAAGATATAAACCAACTCTACAATTCAGGCTCTTAGGACCTATGTGGATTGACTTGAGAAAGGAATGAAAAGACTATTTTAAGGCTTGTTTTTAAAGCTGGGCATTGAGTAGTGGTCACAAAGGGGTATTGGAGGCTCCAGAGATGAGTTGAGTCTTTACAAATGTTATAGCATGATGTGAGGTGGAGTTATCCCACCTAGAAAACGCTCAAGTAGCAGAAGATAATTTCTCCGTATCTGGTATGGGAGACTGAGAGATTGAGAAAATGACAGTGTGAACATGTACAGGGTACTGGCATTCAGAAGCTCCTTGAAATAGTCTACATATTAAGGCAGAAATCTATCTTTAGTTAGCAAAACCTTCAAAATATTCTTCTTGAGTTAGACCTGAAGAATCATGCATGGGATGACATTGGTTACCATGTAGCACAAGCTGCAGCTCATTGTAAACTAGGAATTACTGTTGTTTAAAAAAACAAAAACAAAGCAATTGTTGCTTGTAACTCCGAACTAATTAGATGAGATGGATTTGAAATCTGGAACTTTGTGCACCATGTGTTTCAAAAAACTGAAAATGAAGTGAAATACATTCTGTAGTTGACTTCATAGAATATTTTAATTTCTTCAACATTTTTAATGTCTCTTAAATAAGAATGCATCCTTATCAAAGGTTACATGTCACGTTGGGTTGCAATTCCCAGCTTTTCTTTTGGTGTTGGAAGCCGCATTTTCTATATAGCCCAAACTCCCCTGAATGCTTTGAGTGGAACAGCCTACCTTGAACTTAATGTTCCTAAGTGCCTAAGTTAGTGAACCTATTTCTTCTGTGTTACTGGGATCCCCTGTTCTACCACACATAATGGCACTGTTTGGAAACAAAACAAAAAACCTTTCTCAGTGACAAAGACATAAATTTCTATAGTTCATTTTCCAAGGAATAATAAATTGTGATAATAGAGAATCTGTACAATTCTGGTGCCTAAGACTGCCTGAGTCCAGATTGTATGTTATAGAAGATGATACCTTAACTTTTGTCCAGTTTTCTCATCTGTACAGTGGAATAATAGTGTTCACCTCTTAGATTTAAATGAAATGGTGTTTAAAGCATGTAATCACATATTTGTAGCACATCAGCCCCAACCTGTCACAGCTGCAAGGAGTTAATGCTGCTCCCACACTGTCGAAATAGGCGTTAAAAAATAAACCGAAAATCTTGGAAGATCTGACATTGTTTTACTTTATTATGCAAATAGTTTTGACCTCCAGAGATGATTTATTTTGCTTCAGAAGCCTCATTTCTACTGTACTGCTAACCAGTTTAGTCCATTTTGTCCAACAATTTATAATGAACCTGTAAAGAACTACTGATTATATTAAGATTTTTTGGCTCAATTACCTGTTTCAAATGCTCAGTGACTAAGGAAAGCATGTCATTTTCTCCTCTCTTGCATGCTGGAGTGTAACAATAGACTGTGAATAGAGCAAATCAAAGAGACACAAATACCAGTATGAGGGCCCATTGTGTTCAGTTTGTTTCCCTGTCATATCGTTTTAATTTAGGTCGGCTGATTGATTATGACAGGCTCATTGTTCCCTTCTTGGAATCTCTAGACATGTTAATATTCCTATTCTTATCTGTCCATTTTGATTCCAAAACTTAAATGAAATGGAATTGCAGCCTTCACTTTGTTTGCCTGTGCTAAGTGATTATCTCTGAAGTGCGATTTTGTGATTAGGCAAGCCGGCATGCATATACTCAGCTAATGCTGATTTCCCCCAGGGTGCAGAACAGGTAAATTCATAATGAATGGATGTTGTGCTTTGATTTCAAATGGATGCAAAACCTCACCATGCTTAGTAGTTTTATTTTAAAAATGTATTTAATTATTCTAAAATTAACAGGAGAATATTAAAATTGAACTTTAGTAATGTGGCATTTAAACATAAGTCAAGGGTGCTAACTGCTTATGAATGTTAATCCCCTTCAAAAAAAAAAAAACCCAAAAAAATTACCTGACATAATTTAGAGGGGGAGGTGTCATTGAAAATCTTTAGTTTAATTATTTATATTCTTCCTGATTAATTCTTAAAATGTCTCAACGCAGCTTGCTATTTGTATTGTCAAATTCTAGTGTTTCGTATTTTGAAAACTACAATAATTATTCAACTAATTACTGTCATAGTATTGTCATAGTTGTTTAGTCCTGGGGAGGGTGAATTCAATGGTGAAGGGGACTAGGAGTGAAAGATTGGCACAATGTATTCAAGTGTTTTCTTTAATGGTTTCAGAAAAAAATTACTCGTGAGTGTAAGAGATCAATTTTAAGGAGGCTGTAGCATTTTAACCCAATCACTAGTATACATGATTGGTACGCAAATCATAACCACACAGTTTTACTGTAGTGAGATATTTACATTTTCTCCTTCTGTGGCACCGACCACGCCCATTGGGGGGTGGAGCCATGGGCGGAAGTGACCTGTGGAAGGAGGTCTGAGGAAGACCTGGGGAAAGCTCTCTTGCTGGCAAGACTCGGACAGGAGAGCATCCGGTGGAACTTGCTGGTGTTCATCTGTCTAGGTTGTAAGTTATTTCTCCCTGAATTTGTTTGGCCTATTTGTTTATCCTGATCCTTATTTAACTGCAATATATTTTACTGATTGATTTAGTGAAAGCATTGTCAATAATATGGTTAACCTACATGTTCTTTGATTTAGAGCATATTTTCTTCAAAATTCACTAGGACTAAAACCTGAGCAATCAAATGTCCAGGGATATCTGCAAGTATTAGTGGAGGTTGCAGTCTTATGGGATTAGAGGACACCATCATCAGGCAAACCTTCTTCTAGGAGGGATGAACTGAGGTTTGTGTGATGACATGTGATGTCTTGTAGGTCATATCAGTGGATCTTGCATCAATTCTGACTGCGAGGAGAGTCCTTTTTGCCTTCAGGAACACTGAGCATGAAGTCACTTCTGCAGAAAAGTTCAAGAAATGCACTTCTACCCATGCTTTCACTTTCTACTTCTTAATTTGAGCATCAACATAAACTTGAACCATGTTTGTATTATTTAAAAAAGTATATACAAAAGTATAAATGAAATCACCTATCATTTGTGTCTCTAAGTAATTCGTAGAATAGGCAGTAAATAGAAATAATAGAAGTGCAATCCATCATAAACATAGTTTATTGGTGCCTTTCTCTGAATGGATCATGGCTAGTCCATGCACATTAATCCCTCTTCTTGTTAGGTTGGTGAACAGATTTCAGAGTTATTTAGAGGTTATACTTTCAATGTTTGGTTTCCTTTTTCACTTGTTAACACATCTGTGTCTCCAAAAAGATGATGAGTCTATGCAGTTGCACCCTTCTGCTTTAATTGTTCATCTTCATAGGAAAACTCAGTTTACACATCAGTCTAAATTGAGTCTGTATCCTTTTCATTTTATTAATCTGTTTGAATGCCTTAGGGGAAAAGCAAAATTCTCTTTCTCTTTATGATACTTGTATTAATTCTTTGATAATTTCTTACATGCATACAATGTATTTTGATTATATTCAACTCCTGTTCCACACCCTGGTTCCTCCCAGATTGGGCCTCACCCCCACATCCCTTCCCAGCCTCATGCCCTTTGCATTCTATTGTTCTCCTCATAAATTCATGGGTATGAATCATCCTCTGGAGCATGGCCATTCCACCAGGGACCACGCTCTTAAAAGAAACTGACTCTCCCTCTTCTAGGAGCCACCAATAGTCAACAGCTCCTGAGTAGGAGTAAAAAGCAATATGTTTTCAACTAATATCAGGTATACATGAAGTGAATGGCTTATCCTGTCAATCACTCATTACCCTAATATTTTATTGTTATTGATATGATGCAAAGCATTGCCATGAAGGAAAGGAACAGAAAGGCACCTGTGCCACCAAGCTTATCATTGAAATTCAGAATAAGCCTAATGACTGAAAAGTACAAGGCATGTGTCATGTAGTCTCAGCTAGACCTGAACAAGCTCTATAGCCAAGGCTAGCTTTATATCCTCTTGCTGCCATATCCTACATGCTGATCATAAACATGCACCACTACCTTTGCCTGGTTTTTCCTAACTTTATTTGTGAAGTTGCCTGGCTGCTCACTCACTCTGCACTTGTGTGCAGATCAGCATATCCATTCAATTTCTTTTTCAACCTGCTGTTTCTGCAGCTTCGGCCACCTTTGAAGACTTTCAGATCCGGCCCCATGCTCTCTTCGTACATTCATACAGAGCCCCTGCTTTCTGTGATCACTGTGGAGAAATGCTGTGGGGACTGGTTCGCCAAGGCCTTAAATGTGAAGGTGAGTGTTTTCTTCACCACTGAAATTCATGTGAGCAGAACCTGCTGCTTCTGTCTTCCCTCCATGACCTTGCCCTCTTTCATGAGTACCCTCCAGCCATCTTTGTGTGTGTGTGTGTGTGTGTGTGTGTGTGTGTGTGTGTGTGTGTGTGTGTGTGACTGTGTATGGGACATTTTGTTCATTTTTTATGTTTCCCGTCTTTGATATTCCTAACCTCATTTACAAGGTGAATTTTTACTTTTTTCCTCACATGGGAGTATCCCTTGCGGTAATACATGGGATATTTTAGCCAGAAATTAAAACTGTATTCTCATCTTATTAATCAGATGAGAAATCAGAATACTAAGCATTAAAAGCAGCTGAGATTGAGATGGTTACTGAAAGGACCCATGATCACAGCAATGCTGAATGGGTAAAATGGAACATCCATGTGTTTTTTTCACACCAGACTGTGGTGTGAGCATTGTCTGGAGAGAACTCCTTGAACTGGAGAACTCAGTATGCAAGAACAGTACCATCTAGTCCCAACACCTCATGCAGCTCTCCCCTGTTCTCTATTGGGGTAGATGGATTGCTTTGAAGTATGGCCACAATGATCACCCATTTGGAATACAGTCTGTAAATAATCTTTCCATAATTGTTTAGTTCTTACCAGTGCAGTGGAAGTTCAAAGACTACAATCTAGAAGACGCCATGCCTCAGGTGTGTTGTTTTGACTAGATTTCTTTCAGCCTGACAAAACACTCGAGAGAACTTCACTTAAAGGAGGAAGGACATGTTTTGACTCATGGTGTCAGGAGTTTAAGTCCATGGTCACTTGGTTCCATTGTTTCTTGGTCTATAATTAAGCAGAACATCAGGACAAAGAATGCATAGCAATGTCTCTCACCTCATCACATCTGATAGATCGACATTTTAACAAAAATCTGTTACATATTTCCAAACCATAATGAAACAGAGTAAGCATTCAAATTTGAGAAGGTATTGTAAAATATCAAAGAAGGATCATCACATCAAACAGGACCCAAACCTAGAAGAGCAAATACCAATTTTGTAGCTCCATACACAGCATCTATTCTAGATAGTGGCATGGTGTGATTTTTAACTGGCTTAGACAGCACTGCTCTAATGGTTTTGCTGATTTAGCTCAGTTAGCCTCTCTTAGGCTAGCTCTGCAGGGATGACTGTCTTTCCTCAGCAAACACCCCATTTCCGTGGGCATCTCCAAATCCCTGGGGACTCCACTGTTCTTTATCATCTGCCTTATATGGCCATGCATTTTTTTTTTCTTTCAGGCCTACAGGGACTTTTAACTGCTGTGCTACTAAGCCTCCCAGGCCTTTCTTTGAAATCTTGTTAGGAACATCCATGACCCCATGGCTCTTGCATTCTGTATACCCACAAAACCAGAAGCAAGTGAACACAACTCATTATGCTGTCATGGGAAACCATACCCAGAACTCCTTGGACAGCATCTTCATCGAGATCCGGGTGCCTGAACTTTAATGAATGCCTTACAAAGAGTTGTCTGAACTATTTTGTAACAGATAAGGGATTTCTATGTAGCAGGTGCCAGTTATGCGGAGAATGTGCATAGTATAAAAGTGGGGAGTAAATAGCACTTCCTGAAGTGGGAAATATGCCTCCAATATCATGCTACCTAGAAACAAACAAGAGATATATTTTATTTATCAGTTTAATTCTGTGGAGAAATTATTTTTATCTCCACTTTACAGACTGGGAAATTGAGATGAAGTAATTCGTTTAAGGTCATATGTACAAGTAAGCTTCAGATCAGTGTCATCCAAACGTGTGATGTACTAGGATTAATTTCCCCACTATGTGCCTATACACACTTAAAATTGTAATGGCTAAAATGGTATAATCTTTTTTATAAATGCATTTGTAGGCTTTTATAAACCCAAATTCATTTTACTCGGAACATCACAAATACATAATAAAAAATAATTTAAAAAACAACAACCAGGGGAGTTATTGAGCATTTACAGAAAAATAGGAGTCTGAAATCCATTTTCAAATAAGGAACAAAAAGAATCAGAGAAAACAGAAATGAAAATTTGTGTTTCCAAGCAGCATCAAGACAAATTGATGTTGTGCTATGTTTTCAAATTCTTAATTTATATGTAATGATGGAACAGATTTAATTTTTGGTTAAATGAGAGCTATTTTTATGTTTGTTTTTCAGGATGTGGTCTGAATTACCATAAGAGATGTGCATTTAAAATCCCTAACAATTGCAGTGGTGTGAGAAGGAGAAGGCTCTCTAATGTTTCCCTCACTGGACTCAGCACTGTCCGCACCTCATCTGCTGAGTTCTCCACCAGTGCCCCTGATGAGCCTCTACTGGTATGGCCCCCTATCTATTCTATCTGTCTATTCCCCACTTGCTTGGAAAATCTGGGAGATATTGTAATATCAGTGTCAGGCCAGAAGAATGTACTGAGAGGGAAATGCAGCCTCCATGTTAATGATTACGTTTCCATGGGGTCTCTGTTGTAGGTTAGTCAATGCATCATCAAATAGACAACAGTTTTGAGTTGGCTTTCTTTCCTGAGCTTTGCAAAATTGAAAATTTTGTGAGGCTTCATATGGTCATAAGTCATATGAGCAGTGTGAAGTAATGTGTTAATGTTACAAAAGATGGTCTCCTCGGCAAATTTCTAAGGACATATAGCATCCTGAATATCTGTCTCTTCTGAGCTAGATTTTGAAAAATGCCTTTATGAAAATGCCAAAGACTTACTGTTTGACATTACTTATATATATTCATGCAAGTTTGTCATTGAACATTACCAAGAACCATGAACGCACCAGCACTTAACTAAAGTGTTTCTAGTGCCTGTGAAAGAGCTGATGGACATGGTGAAAGCATCTGTTAAGGTAAATAATTTTTAACTTTCACAGGATAGTGTGAGGATTATGTGAGGTACTTATAACAAGAATGGGACTCTAAAATAACTAATGGCTTCAGGCTCCAGCTTACCCTTGTCTACTTTATCTCACCAGCACCCTGACACATCATAGCATAATTATTACAGAAACTGATGACAAACACAAAATGTAAAACCACCTTGAATTTGAGTATATGGACTTACCTATGAAAATTTGTAATGGAGGTTACATGTAGAGTATTTGATTGTTACTTTAAGTGAATTTAATTTTGTTGTAGAATAAGCCACATGTCAGAGGTTCACTCATCATTACAAATAGGAAACGTCTGTAGCCTGTACCTACATTGCTCTTTTGGTGGTATTGCCTTCTACTTTTCATTCTTCTTTAACTGAAACTATCTGGGGAAGATAGGGACTACATCTTTGTAGTAATTAGATGAATATGACATTTTTTGTACTATTCAGAAGGTATGTTTGTTATTCTATGCAATCTCTTAAGTGTGAGTTATTAGAATAAGTGTCATTTTGCAAAAAAGTGATCACTCAAAAATTGTGTCTTGAAATAATTGCCATTGCCTACTCTGCTTTGAAGTTTTTTGGTTGAGTTTGAAATTTTGAAAATAGTGATTTTAGGCCATTGTACTAGGGATAACTGTGGTTATTGCAAAGCATAACGTTTGGAATAAGGAAATTGAAATTATGTAAAAGTGAAATTATAAATATATTATGTCATGTTCAAATTAGCCAAAAAAGGGCTTTTTAAGAATTTATACAAGAAATCTAATGGTTGAACTATTTATCATTACAGTGTATTACAATCTAGATATTTTAAATTAGATATTATTTATTTTGAATATGTATCAATAATAGCATGTACTTGTATATACTTGTTTTAAATATTTACCATATATTATAATATAGATATAATGTGTACATGTATATGTGTATATAGCTACATACGAATGTATACACACACTCATATATATATATATATATATATATATATATGGCTATATACATATATATAAATACTTTGAATCATTACTTATAGCTAGTTTAGATTTTAGAGGTAAAGTGTCATTTATATATCAAATCAAATCTATATATATATAAAGTATATAACTTACATGTAACCATAATTTAGAATATATAACCATAACCCTTAATACATATATTTGTGTTTTTAAAGACAATTACTAATTGGTGTGTTTAAGCTACTGAAATAATTAATTATTTGAATTACTTGATTACAATATATATTTTACATAAATGTCAAAATTCATTAGTGTTTCACTAATGAATGGGAATTCCCTGTAGTAGAATACTCTAAAATTCATTTTTTCAAAGTAGCCTTTAACATTTCCATAAAAACTCATGAAATTATGATCACAATAAGATGCTAGTGATTTCTGAAGCCATCATGCCCTCGAAAATAATAATTTTTAAATATTATTTTAAAAAAAGAAAATCTCAGGGTCATGAGACACTGAAAGATATTGGGTACATAGGCTTCCATAGCCATGTATAAACTATTCTTCAGATAAATTTAGAAAGAAATCCCCTTGAAACCATGTTTGTGACATACTCAACATGTTGGCTTTTAGGATCATGTTTTATATACCTTGGAATCCAGAGTACTCAAGGAAATGTCTGAGTATCTTTTATCTAGTTTCTTAGACATTAGGAAACATTAGGCTACCTTTCATGGGACATACATCTCTCTGTTGACTTTGTTTCATCTTTGCTAGTGCAGTATAGAGCCAACTCTGCTTCTCTAGTCAGGCACACTTGGACCATGCAAATATGTCTCTTTTCCGCCTTAGTGAATTCTAACAAGAAGTGATATCATGGTAATAATAGCAAAACCTTTTGGTACTGTGTATATTAAAGAACAACTTATTTCAGAGAAGGATGGTGCTTTGTGTAAAGATGGTATTGATCATCAATTCCTCTAAAGTGTCTCCTTTGTAAGTCTGTGATGACATGTGCAAACTTCTAAAATAAAACAAAATATTCTACATTACAATTGTCTGTTTTGACTATAGAGTTGCTAGTTTACACACAGAGTAAGACATTGCTATTTCTACTAATTTGTCCAATTTAGGCAAATGAATTGAATCTCAGAATTATATAATCCTGCTAAGATAGAAAGGACAAAATAGCATATGTTGTATTTCAAACTGTATGTGTCATCTGTGTTGGTAGCAAAGGGCATCCATTATGCTCTCCCTAAATCACCAATCCTCTAAGACAGCCCAGTGTAATAAGCTGACTATAGAGCAACTAAAGGTATATGATGCATTTTTTTGTAAATGCTTAATGGTGTTATTAGAAACAAAGAAAAGTAAAATGAAATCCTTAAGTAGGTACACTACTTATGCTTACATGCTTATTAAGATAAGTATGATTGTGAAGATTATATTTTTCTACATTTTCCTCATCTTTTTCTTTATGAATTAAGAGTCAGTTGAAAACAAGCTACATGAGGCCTACCTTAGACAACAAATTCCATCCCTTCCTTTTTTCCTTAAATGTGAAGGATGAGCTGGTATCAAATCAATTTTCCCATAAGTAACAGTCGTAAACTCTGATAATAATAAGACAGAAGTCTTATTTGAAGTTATCTATGTGCTACAAATATAATCAGGACTTGAAATTCTGGTCACAGAGAGGTCACAATGTAAGGATATTCAAATATGAGATATCTGGCCCCAAATCACAGTGGTATTACTATCGAGAATTCTGGATATAAACTAAAACTGGAGAAATGTCACACATAAAAGTTCATAGAATGTAATGTTGTATTACACAGTGTTTAAATATGAAAATTTTAAGTAATATGGTACCACATGGAAAATTTTAATAGAACTAGAAAATGCATGCAGATTGACAGGTGTGTGTGTGTGTGTGTGTGTGTGTGTGTGTGTGTGTGTGTGTGTAAGATACAGATATATAGATTTATATATAAAATGTAACTGCTGTGAAGGATAAGCTGCTTAATAAATGTTTTTGGAATTCATTAAATTGATGTATGGAAAATAGGAGTTTGTTGAGACAGCCCATCACTATATACACTGTGACACCCTGGCTATCTGTGACCAACCAGGTAGACAAGACTGACCTAGAGATTACTGTGATCCTCCTGCCTCTGCTTTTCAAGTGCTGGATGGAAATAAAGGTAGACTCAATAATGCCCAACCTGGAAAATATGTTAACCCTGCTCCAAGCGATACAAATCAGTTCTCAGCACACCGATTTTATAAGAAATAACCAAGATGAATAAATGAAAATTCTTGAAATAGGTAAAGTTGTAAAAAAAATTTTGGTAAAAAATAAACTTAAAACACTGAGGAAATGGAAATGAATCAAGAGAGTTGGTGTCATTCAAATTCCAAACTCATTTCACTTATAATAAAATAATTTATCAGGGAGTTTATCCCCAGAGAAAACTGATTCTCCCTCTCACAAAAGCCATATGTGGGTCTACGTTAAAACTAGAAGTCATTGCCTCTAAATTCCCCATGTTTTTTTCACCAATTCACAGACTTCACAGATAGTAGAAGTGCACGCCAAGTTATTTTGGTAAAACCTCACTCTAATTGTACATAGCTCTCAATGCCCCTGAGTCAATGGCAACATATTACAAATCAAGATACAACATTTTCAAAAACAAGTAAATGATTTTTATGAATGTACAGTAATTTATTGAACAAGTAGGAAGAAAATCACTAACATCAGAGTACAGTGCTACATACAGTTTTTAATGTTTCACCTAGAGTTCATTTTGTTTGAGTTCTAGTTATCAAATAGAACAACTGCTTGCATATTTCCCTTTGTTTTAAAAAAGAAAGATGAAAAAAACATTTTCAATATACTATACATTGAAACATTTCTTTTAAAGCATGTGTTTTTTTTTTTACTTTCAAATGATATTTTAATTTAGTGTGAGACCAGAAATCAACAAAATGAGCAAAAAAATGCATTACAGATATATTCGCCTTCCTTTTAGATAATTTTAAATTTTGTAAATTTATTTTTCATACATAGGTGTTTTGCTTGAATGTATAGCTGTGGATCCGTTGTGCACCTCATGTTAGCAGAGGTCAGACACAGGCAATGGCGGTCCTGAAACTGGAGTTACACACAGTTGTGAGCTGCCATGTGGATGCTGAGAATAGAACCCACATTCTGTGGGATAGTGGTCATTGCTAATAACCGCCAAGGAATCTCTCCAGGCCCTGTATTTGCCTTCCTAAACCTCTTAAATCTGGCCATCCCACATTTGACACCCCTGACCAGATCAGAACTATCCTTCACCCCACTCCCACCTGCAGGCAAATAACAGCCATGCAATGTTTGATTACTTTAATGACCTTTTCCTCCATTTCACGTTAAGAGCAAGAATTATTGTGAAGAAAACCTAATCTTTTACTTAAAGGTCAAAAATACTTCATTTTGACTCTAATTTGTTTTCAACAAGGTACAAGAGCAACCCCTCATCACTAAGACCATAGAGTTTTTTTAACCACTGCTCATAATCTCAAGATGTTTTGCATCTGTGACTTAGTAGGACCTGTTTCATTTAAATTTTAAAAGAATTTTCCAGTTTGGACTTTTGTGTGGCCACAAAGCTGAATGATGTAACATTTTGCTTTTGTCTGATAACCTGTGTTAAACATCGTTTATTAATAAGCATTACCTTTCTCTATTAACTTTGTTTTTCTGTCTTTTTCTCCCCTTGTTGTTCTCCTTTACATGCTCTTTGATCTTTCAACTTCATGTTTCAGTCTCCTGTAAGCCCTGGCTTTGAGGTAGGTACTAAGCTACCTGGCATTAAGAATATGCCATCACCTTGTCTTCAAACTCACCTTGTAATAATAGTCCATAGTTACATTCATGGTTAACAGAGTTTAGATGAGAGTTCAGTCTACTGAATGCTGAACCTAGAGTAAAACTGTTTTGTCATTTCGTATTACTTGAATTCCCATAATCCTCAAAGTGACAAAGATCAATATACTTATTAAAGTAATTACAGTTCATTCCTTAGATCGAAGTTTGGCTCCTAAATGCTTGATTTTGTAACATGGATGTCTTGTCTATGACTATGAAAAGACAACTTATGTGGTACTCTATAAACTGAAATTCTGCCCATTGGAACCCTATGGAGAAGAGTGCAATATAAAAAAAGAATGTACAAGTTTCCTTTAATATATATATATATATATATATATATATATATATATATATTCTTGTAGTTTTTTCCTTGAATGCCTTTAGAAATCATTTTCTAGGAATACATGTCCCTTTGAGTAATCCCTGGGTCATGAAACTTAAAAGGAGTAGGAGGCATATTCACTTCTCAATTCTTATATTCAAGAACTGAATGTGAAAGACAAAGAGACATTTTGATTTCTGTGGAACTTGTATCTGTTAAGGGCAACCATGCCTTCAAAGGCCAGCTCTTGCAGGAAATAAGATAAATATTCTTCATAGCCTATTTTTCTATAACCTTGTACACAATTTTCACAGTCATAAACCGACTTTATCTTCATTAGTATCTATAAAGAGAAAAATAATAGAATTTGACAAGTTTTTCTCTAAAATGTATCTTGCCAATAATTGTGGGAGTAGAAAAATTATTATAGACAATTGGATTCCTAGAAACCAACTGTGTTATATATACTTTTCAACAAATAGTTATTAAAAATTGTAGACTAGTTATTAGTGTTTGATGATTTCTATTTCTATTTCTCATACTCATACACATACTATTTTCCAAAATAGGATTTATGAATGTTTTTCAAATTTTTTCCTACTAATTTGATGGTCTGAAGGAGACCCTGCTGTATCTAAGAATAATTTCTTTATTGTTAAAGATACACAACAGCCCATGCCCTAGTTAAGCATCATTCCTTCACTTAGTGTCAATCCCTTCCCATCTGCTATTGACTTGCTTGTTGGGGCCAAGAGTCTTTCTGTCTGAGGCAGTTACCCTTGTCTATTAATCTATAATGGAAGACTATTTTTGCTTTGACCTGTGCTTTCACTCACACTGGATTTTACATTTTCTTTTTGATAAATAATTAGTAATTATGTATGTTATAGGATAGATTATGATGGTTTCTTAAACATGGAGAACACATTTTCTTTCAGTTTTATAAAATTTGGAATCTTTTCAAATTACATTAATGTGAGCAGACACATGAATGTAACATTCTGGTCAAAGGACTTAGAAGAGTGGAGCCATTTTTCCTTGAAATCAAGGGTGGGAAGCCAAGGTAGAAAAGAAAGAATTGAAGGAATGGGTGATCTCTGTAGATGCAATATAATGTAAAAGATGAAAATTTAAAAAAGAACAAATAAAAACAAAAGTTAGGCTTTATAGTTTCATTTATTAAAAAAAATAAATTAACCAAAGTTATTTGAAATGTTTTCAGTATATTTGAAGGGGCATCTACTAATACAATTTTGAGGTTAGCAGCCTCTATAGAAGCTTACTTTTGGCAAAATTAAATTCTCCTAGTCCAAATCATTTTGGTTATTTTTAACATTCAGACCGTCTTCAAGAACCTGTCAGGAAATACAATGCTCATTCTAAACACTTGTCCTGCCTCTGATCATTTTACATCCTCAAACTTTAGTTTTTGTGAAATTTAAGCTACATTCAGTTCAACTTTTTATAGAAGGAACATAATTTTTTAAATAGCAATTTTCCATAAGCTTATCATCTTTATAATGTTTACTATCTCACATGTAATTAAGGAAAGAAAGTCTTGGCTGCATAGTTTCATAGAAATTGTCGAAGAAATTTCCAGGTTGTTTTTCAACATGGCCTGTGTCTATCTAGGGGCACATGCTTGGTACTGTTGTGTTCTGGAGTTCCAGGAATACTGGTGACTCATCTGCATTAAAGTCATTTTCCACTTACAAATGTACCACGACTGTCCTGTAGTACCTTGCCAGGTGTCATGAGGTTTCTCTTGATTGCTGTCTGAGCTCTCCAAACAGAAGCCAGAGCAGTGTGTACTTTCAGCAAAGTGCTGTGCAGCACTTCTCAACCTCACAACTACCCATCCTAGGTGAAGATTAGTGGATCTGTGGGGAAGGAGCCCTGAAGTAAATCATCGTTGTAGGCTCAGTAGAAGATTGCCTGATGTTACTCATTGGAACTTGTGTGTAGCATCTACATAATTAATTTATGTTCTGGATAGAAAGGAAGTGTGAGTATAAATGCAATGATTATGGGGCAGAATTTCAGTAAACCCTCTTGTACAGGGGTATCATAAATTGCTTGTCCGTCCTTCCTTAGTATTTAGGAAACATCTGGATCTTGCAGATCTTGAACAAAGGCTCTGAAGTCCCAGTTTATCACTCAGGCAGTGTGCCATAGCCTCTAGAAAGATCCCTAAGACCCAACAGTGAACATTTTCTCTCTCACACCTTCATCCTCTGAACAACCTGCCAGGCCTGGCCAGCTTGATAATTTCATTCCTGATCTCTTGTAACTACTGAATTCTTACTAAAATAAAGGGCATTCATATTGTATGTGAGAGCTATGTGTCATGGGGATTTCCTATACCCAGAAAACATGAAAAGTTTGGTATGAAAGTAATAACAATGGAAGGAAAGAGCAGGAAGTTAGAAATGGATCTTATATTATTTTATAAGCTAAAACCATGTGTATTTTCATGGACAGGATGTTAGCTCAGCTGGTAAAGGTATTTGTCCTCAAGCCCACAACCTAAGTTCAGCCTCAGAGACCCACCTAGTGGAAAGAGAGCATGAACACCTACTAGTTTTCCTCTGGCCTACACACAGGAACTATGACATGTACACAGTACATAGGCACACATATAAGTACATTAATATACTATATTTAATATTTGTGTTGCCAGAAATATTTAGTTGCTTTCTATGATTCTTGCATGGTTTTGAATGTGAAGTCAATTTGACTAAGTTAACCAATTTTGGCTCCCTTCTCAGGAAAAGTATATCGTTTGCAGTATAAACATGTAAAATACAAGATAAGGCCATGCCCAAAAGTTAGGAACTAAAGTGTCACTTTCTCTGTACAACCCAATTTAGGTAATAATCTCTGTTTTCTCCTATAGCCATGCACTAGAAATATCACTGTTACTTAGTTTAGTGCTTTCTTATGTTTTTAACATTCAGTTCTTTGGAGAGTGGAAGCATATAGGTGGAACCAGAAGCCCCTATCTTGAAAATATCATCTTGCCTTTTAAATCATTTTGGAAGTGAATCACCCACACACACACACACACACACACACACACACACACACACACACACACACACGACTGCACTAACACTGTGGTATGGCATTAACTAACATAGGCTATGATTCTGTGAAAAGCTGCTCAAGTACCTTTATGGTTGATTGTTAGAGGAAAACAGTAATCTTTGAAGTCTTTTGCTATCTTTATATTTTCTCCGCTCCTCCTTGGTATCAGGGATAAGTCCAGCCCAGACCTCTGGTTATTCAAGTTTAGTCAAATACTCAGTTATGAAATTAAATGTCCCTAAACTGGTGTCCTTGTTTTTACTTAGATAATTAGTCATCCACTCCACCCCCTGTCGCTTTCTATATGTAGATTCAGCCTGACATTTAAAGTTCCAAAGCAGAAGTTGTGGACATGCATTCATTTTCTTCCAAAGTGGATATGCCTTCCTCTCCTAGTTTTTTTTAAAAAAAAAAAAAAAAAGTAGATTTAGAATACAAAGCATTAAGTTGGCATTGCCTTCATGTTTTATTTTAAAGGTAAAACTACTTATATCATGTTTCTCTTTAGGGGCCATGCTTTGTAGGGTATTGGTAACTAACATTTAAAAGAACAGGGCCTGCAATTTGTGAAAACGCTTCCACAGTTCTGATGCTTTCCCTGCAAAGGGTGGATCACTTAAATAAACCTAAGGCTCTGGTGCCCTCCCCTTATGTTTACTCAAAAGAGTGAAGCAATATAAAGTAAATGCAACTTCTGAGACTACTTTAGCACTCTAGTAGCAAATCTAGATCTCCTTATATTTTTCAAAGAGTATTCTATGTGTCATTACTTTGAAAGCTTTCATAAATGGCTGCAAACATTAAGAAATGAATTCTCCTCTGTAAAACACAGCATCCGTCACCACTAAGCAGGGGGTACGCTTTTTTTCCTGCCCTATAATAACCCTTTTAACAGTTTTGAAAAGGTTTTGATCAGCCTTTATTTATACTATATATTTAGGACATCCAACTGAGAATTCAAACTCATTTATCTGGCACATTTGGCATAAAGTTCAAGGGACATAGAATCAGAACACAATTAAAAAACCTCGAGATTCAGCAAACATCCTTCTACACAGCACGTGTGCTCTTATGTGAACTTCATTTCTCCTGGCTTCATATTTGCCTAGTGTCAAAGACTGTTCTGTGCTGGAAAACCTCTCACTCCCTCTCTAAAGGGTAATATTTGAGGAAAGATGCTTGTTTCATGTTTCTTCACAAAGTAATCATGTTCTGAGCTTCCTCATATGTATTTCTAGCACCAAGTGAAGATGGGATTAGTCATTGCCAAATAACCATAAAACTGTGTGTTGGAGCACAAACAGAGAACCCTCTGAGTAGTCTCAAGATAGGATGGGCTCTGTTGTCCTAGACAGATTTATTTTTTACTTGTTGGTAGTGTCAAATCTGGTAAGACTCAATGTGTTGTCTACAAATATAGTTCTTTTAGGATAATTCCTTTCTGGGTGATATTTCACTTCATTGTGAATGTAGTTTACCTTTTGTTGAAGCTTTCTATGTAGGAATCCT